TATCACTCTCACCCAAATAAGCGTTTTGAATTGTTTCACTAGGTACAGAATCGGTTTGCCTACCGATTTTGTACCTCGTGGCACAATTCAAATAATACTTGATTTTGGCGTGACCACTGTTTCCTCTGAAAAAGTATAAAATCGGGAGACAAACCGGTTCTGTACCTTTAGAAGAAAAGAAGGCACAGAGCAACAAGGAGTTTAAAGTGCAGGAAGATTGGTTGTCACTTGGATTTGATAATACTACTACTACACTGTCCAATTTCAATTTGTCCACCTATTTTTTCGTTCAAGATCATTTTCAGATCCATCAAATAAACATTTTCTATAACTTTGACTAATTTCTGGAATGTACAGAAAATTTCTGAATAATAAAAAGGCAAGACGAAACTGGACGAAATCTGTCGAAAAGACAAACTTTTCGAAAAACTTTTGTTTTTTCTATTAACTCTGTTCTTTTTGTACATAAAATTTGAGAAATTCCGGTTTTCAGAAATGAGAAAAAAATTCTTCAGGTTTCTACCGTCTTATATCAAAATTTTGTCAACTGATAAATTGATTATCATAACATTTCCAATATTTCCTTAACTAACAATCTTTTGATATCTTGACATGGAATGGAGACAATTGAGCTCAAAGTAGGTAAATGCAATTTTGGGCCATAATAGAAGGTTTGGACACTTTAAATCTTATTATTTTGAGTCTAGTAGAAGATAGCAAAGAAATGTCAAATGGGAAAATGTTGATTTCATTTTTCCACATTTTTAACTCTTCAAATTACTTCAAAATCGTTTTTAGAACTCGAGAAAATTAAGATACCGTAGTTCCTCTAATAGAACCCCACCCAAATCATCCAGTTTCAGCTCAATTATCTCGGTTCCTGTGAGAGATATCAAAAATTTGTCAACTGATAAAATATTGATGATAATATGATAAATTCTTTATTAGTTGACAGGTTTTTTATATCTCTCATGAGAATCAAGTTAATCGAGTTTGAAGATGACGGTTTAAGCGGGTTGCTATTAGAGGGAATATATTGTTAAACCAATTTTTTAAGACGCATCTACTGATCCCTTCTTCACTTATTACGAAGATCATTTGCATCAAAACCCAGGATCTCTTGACTATGTCGATGACAAAACTGCATTTGACACAGGTACAGTACCCCTCTTACAGTAACCTTTAAATATTTAATTGTTAAGGCGCCCCTGGAATCAATCTTGCAAAACCATTCTACTACGTGATGAGTCGAAAGTTTGAGGATAACTTCATGATTGTGTGTGGCGGATATTTTGTGAGTCTTTGGAAAAATCAATTATGGATTTTTTTTTCTGATTTTCAGAACAACACAATCTGGGCCAATAAGGCATGAAAGACTCGAAGGAGTTAATATAAATGGATCGATTGACATTGTGAACTAATTTTTTGTCGGGTTTTTTGGAATAGCATCATGAAGTTTTATTGGTCACAACTTTTTTACAATTTTCCACCTGTAGACACAGGTTTTTCAATTAATGTGACTTGAGATCTTCAAGTTTCAAATTGAAACTTTCAACAAAGATCTTAAATTCTGAAAAATCACATGTCAGCGATTTCTTGACAAAAATTTTCAAATAAGGATTTTATTAATAACCTCATGGAAAGAATATTCAAAAGAATTCCGTTTGATCCTTGTCCAACTGCTGCTCCGGTATATTATGTCATGGTTTTGCGAATAACTGGATTTATTTCGATATTAATTAATTCAGTAGCGTTTTATATGCTTTTCTGTCATTCTTCAAAAATGAGAGGATACAAATATTGTTTGTTTTATTTACTGGTAAGAGAGACCTTAAAGGTGGGGGGACAGGAGATTTTACGGGGGATTTTTGGGGCCAGAGTATGCATTCTACCGTAACGGTGTACAACGCTTAATGTCACTCTGCGTACAGCGGTCGTCCTCGCCTTTATGTATTCAATCAGGCGCCCGCTCCAGTTTCGCCCGCATGGCTCAGTCGGTAGCGGCGCCGCACCTTCAATACTCGCCTCGACAAGTTCAACTCCTCGAGGGGCATATTTAAACAGCATTTCGAGAACATTATTTTTTCATGACCCCCCACCTTCAAGGTGGAATATAGGCTTTCCATGACGGGAGGGTAGCGAACGGGTAGCTGCTACCCGCCCGTACCCGTACCCGCCAGCTACCCCGCCCGCTTGCTACCCGCATGGAAACCCTACTGGAATAAAATATATATGAGTTTTAAGAATGAAAACAAACTATAAAAAAACACAAAATTTTAATTTTTTTTTCTAAGACACCACACTAGGAATGCCTGCAAAACTATTTGTCCGTTGGCTGATTGGCTCTACCGTATTCGTATTCCCCAAATTTTTGAATCTGAAAAATTTTATTCTAGAAAAAAAAAACTCAAATATTCTTATATTTACCTGAAATCCTCGTAAACTTTCTTTTTCAAAAATTTCCGATATTTCGGATTGCTCAAAGTCATCACGGCGCAAGAACACATCGAGTGTGAGCCCACAAGGAACATTGTATCTGTTGCCAGCTCTGAATCTTATATAGTTTATAGTCTTTGTAGTTTGTAGTTTATGTACCTTGCAAATGAACTGCCTCTGTGACCACTACGTACATACAAATACATAATGGAACGATAATTAAAACTCCCGGAATCAATAATTGCATTAATAAACCAAAAAGTGCAGTTTTGTGCATTTTATAAGTGGCAGAAGACATCATTTTTTGAAATCGACGGAGTAAGATCATTGTGTGAAAACTTAGGCCCAAACCGTATCTGGAATTTTTGAAATTGTGAAAATCGAAAGTTTCTGAAATTCCAAAAATTCAGAAATTCCAACTTTCTCACTCACCCGTAAACTAACAAAACAAACGAGATGGCTCCTATTCCGACAACAGCTAACCAAGGATTTAGAACATAATCATAAACTTCAAAAGCATCAAATTTCATCCAAATCATGCATTCTGGCCAATTCTAAATTTGTTTTATTTGATTGAAAATTCGCATTTCGAGCCCCACTTCTCTGGGCTTTAGAGAAGGGGAGGGATCCGGGACGAAAAGCCTGGGTCCCTGGGTCCCTGCGGTTGCTCAATACCTATCTTTTTTTGGATTTTTTAAAAGTTAAACGAAGAAATTCTTAAGTTTCAGAAAAAAAATTAGAAGATTTCTCTAATTCAAAAAATCCGAAAATTCAGTAATTTTGAAAACTTTCAAAACTTTCAGGATTACTGTAGGTATGGCTTACTTTTTGCAGATAATCATATTTTTGTTCAAATGTCAGCTGAGAGTTAAACATGGCAAATGCTCCAGCGAACGGAAAAATATGACACAAAATAAGCATAAACTTTTCAACATACATTTTGCTGGGATTCGTCTGAAACTTTATTGTACTGTAAATCCTGTAATAGAAGGGCTCCCTTACTTTCAACTTTGAACCAATTATACTCGATTTCTGTAAAAGATAGTAAAAAGTTGTCAACTGATAAAATGTTCACCATAATATCATAAACATTTTATCAGTTGACAAAACTTTGATATCTCTATAGACAGTGAGATAATTGAGCTCAAAGTGTAAGTAGATGGTGGGATTATAATAGAGTGATTACAGTACTTTATTCGATAATATTTGTATGTTTTACAAGTCTTATTGTGTTTTAATTATGATCTCTAGAAATTAAAGGTGGGGGGACATGAAAAAAAAATAATGTTCTCGAAATTCCGTTCAAAGATGCCTCTCGAGGAGTTGAACTTGTGAGGGCGTTGATTGAGGGTGCGGCGCCGCTACCGACTGAGCCACGCGGGCAAAGAGAAAGCGGTCGCCCGATTGCATACATAAAGGCGAGGACGACAGCTGTACGCAGAGTGACATTAAGCGTTGTACACCGTGACGGTAGAATGCATACTCTAGCTACAAAAAAACTACGAAAAATCTCCTGTCCCCCCACCTTTAAAGACATACCCGACTGATTTCTTCAGCTGCTTTATGTCGAAAAATGAAGCAGGATAGAGTAGAAGGCAATTCGAATGCAAATATGAAGACATAAAGGGTCATACTCAAATGAGAGCTGATAAATTCGGCACCAGTATTATATCCACCAATCAGTGGGAAGAAATAGTATCCAGGACAAATCCAAGACATGTGTAGTTCAGTGATAAAACTCACGAACTGAAATTGATTGGTTTGTAGTTTGTTGTTTCTGGAAAATCTTGTAATTAAAGCCTTGAGCTTCGAACCTAATCATCTCGGTCCCTATTAAAGATATTAAAAATCTGTAAACTGATAAAATCGCGGTGATGTTATGAAAAAATAGTATCAGTTGACAAATTTTGATATCTCTCACAGTAGTTGAGATAATTGAGCTAAAAATGTATGAAGCGTTCTTTTAGAGGAGATATTTTGGAAAATCAGGAATACCAAGAATCAGAGAAAATCCGAAAAAGTCAGGAGTATCAGAAGAATCAAAAATTCTATTTTTGAGATTCTGAGAGTCCCTACAGTAATAATTTTCATTTTGAAGTATTTTTCCCACCAGTAATTCTTCGATTTTTGAATATTTTTCTCTACAGTAATCATTTCAATTTTCGAATGTTTTTTCCTACAGTAATCCTTTTCCTTTCTCTAAATTTTCCCCCTATAGTAATCCTTTTGAAATTCCCTTTTTTCCTACAGTAATCCTTCAATTGATTCCAGAAATGGCCAGAATGCATTGAATGGATAAATGTGGGAAACTTTGAAATTCATGATTATAACCTGAATCCGTTGTTAGCTGTTGCTGGAATTGGAGCCGTTTCAGTGGTTCTGGTGGTTTACACGTAAGACTACAAAACTACGAACTACAATTTTGAACTCTCTAATTCGAATTTCTGAATTTCTGAATTTCTGAATTTCTGAATTTCTGAATTTCTGAATTTCTGAATTTCTGAATTTCTGAATTTCTGAATTTCTGAATTTCTGAATTTCTGAATTTCTGAATTTCTGAATTTCTGAATTCCTGAATTTCTGAATTTCTGAATTCCTGAATTTCTGAATTTCTGAATTCCTGAATTTCTGAATTTCTGAATTTTCAAATTTTGCGATTCGAATATTCCGAAAACCTGATATTCTGAAAATCTGTGATTCTGAATTTCTGGACTTTCAATTTTACCTGTAAATAACACAAACAATACTTGTATCCCTTCATTTTTGGCGATTGAAACCAGACCAAATAGAAACCAATTAAGTTAATTGGAATGGAAATTCCAGCAATTATATGTAAAGTCAGCGGGTAATAAGTAGGGATACTGCTGGGACATGGAGACGGACTCATTGGATTTTGAGAGAAAAAATGAATGGAAATGACTGATTACGAATATCAGGTACATAGAATGACAGGTGAAAAAATCGAGAGAAAAAATAGAAAAAAATGGATTGCGTAGGGAATGATTAATTATATTTTGACATTAAAAAAAAACTTTCTTTAATTTAAAAAAAAAGTTAAAATCAAAAATCAATGGTCCATTTGTGAAATTCGTCTCACTATCACATTATTGAAACTATTTCCAGCAGGCTCCACCAAAGTTCGATTTGTATTGTTTCTGTTGAATATTTTCAATACACTGAAAAAAAATTTTAAAGGAGGCGAGACAGCAAAAATTTCGGGGGACGAAATCGCGCCGCGCTTATGTAGACCATCGGTCGTCAGGCGCCTTCGCGCCCCCGTAGCTCAGCCGGTAGCAGCGCTGTACCCCTGAGCTGCCTGTCATGAGTTCAACCCCTCATGGGGGTTCTCTATGCAAAATATCAGGAAAACTTTTTTTTTGGTGTCTGGCCTCCTTTAAAAACTTTTTGGGTTTTCCGAATTTCTGTTTTTTAATTTTCGAAATTTTCGAAATTTTACGAAATTTTGGTTTTTTTTGTAAATCTCCAATCTTTTAATAAATACCCAAAACTGCTGAAAATCTTCGTTTTCAAACATTTTCGATAATTTGGATTACTGAAGATCATCACCAAACAAGAACACATCGAATGTGAGGCGATCATGAATTGTGTGTTGGTTGCAAATTCTGAATTTTGATTTTCAAAAACAATATATTTTCGTAGTTTGTAGTCTTTGTAGTTTGTACCTTGCAAATGAATCGCCTCTGTGACGACTACAAACATATAAATGCATAATGGAATGATAATTAGAATTCCAGGAAGCAACAATTGCATTAAAAGGCTCAATAGAGCAGTTTTGTGCATTTGATAAGTTTGAGCAGACATGGATTTTTGGAAGTTTTGGAGGATTCTCATCGTTGAAATGCTTAAATAAAAGCAGTATCTGAAAAGAGGGATTTTTTGAAAAATCTCAGAATTTCAAAATGTTGAAAAATTCGGAGATTCTGAAAATTTGAGAACTTCGAAAATCTCAAAGTGTCTCAAATTGAAATTTTTTCTATTTTTGATCGGAGTAATTCAAAATTTTCTTTGAAAAACTTCAAATGTTCAGAAAATTTAGGAAATTCCTTTTAAAGGTGGGGGGACATGAAAAAAATTATTTTCTCGAAATTCCGTTTACATACGCCCCTCGAGGAGTTGAACTTGTGAGGGCGAGGATTGAGGCTGCGGCGCCGCTACCGACTGAGCTACACGGGCAAAGAGAAAGCGGCCGTCGGATTGCATACATAAAGGCGAGGACGACAGCTGTACGCAGAGTAGCGTTTAGCGTTGTACACCGTCACGGTAGAATGCATACTCTGGCCCCAAAAATCCCCCGTAAAATCTCCTGTCCCCCCACCTTTAAAAGTTTGAAAAACTCTAAAAATTCTAAAATTTCGACGTTTTTTTTTTGAAAAATCTGGCGATCGTAAATCTAAAATATTTTGGAAAAACTCGAATTTCTTAAAATCCCAACATCAAAAAAAAATCCGACATCAAATATCTGTCAACTGATAAAATGTTAATTATCATAACTATAGCAATATTTTATCAGTTGACACATTTTTGATATCTTTCACAGAAATCGAGATAATCGACCTCAAAGTTGGTGGCTTGAGTAACCTTTCATACAGGAAATACTGTAAATCAAAAACTTTCAAAAATTCCAAAAGTTCCTAAATTTTCGGGAATTCCGATTTTCAACAATTTATATTCAGAAGATTTAGAAAGTTCAAAATTCGAATTTTTTAGTTTGTAGTTTTTGGAGTCTTTGTAGTCTTACGTGTAAACCACCAGAACCATTGAAACGGCTCCAATTCCAGCGACAGCTAACCACGGATTCAGGTTGTAATCATAAATTTCAAAATTTCCCGCTTTTATCCATTCAATGCATTCTGGCCATTTCTGGAATCAATTGAAGGATTACTGTAGGAAAAGTTTTGAAAAATGAAGAGGATTACTGTAGTAAAAAATATACAAAAAATTAAAGGATTACTGTAGGAGGAAAACTTACAGTTCTCAAAATAAAATACTTCTGCTGATAAGTCAAATCTGCTTTCCCAAAAGACACAGCAACAGCAAAAGGGAACAGGTGACATAGAAACAAAGACACTTTTTTCAGGTACATTTTCCCAGGAATTCTCTGAAATTTTGTGATATTCTGCTCTATTGGCTTTTGGACCCACCATTCTGATTTCTTCAGCAGCATTATTTCGAAAAATGAAGCATAAAAGAGCGGACGGAAGTTCAAATGCGAACATGAAAAGATAAAAAGTCATACAATAATGGGCTCGAATGAATTCGATTCCTAGATTATAGCCAGCAATCATTGGAAAGAAATAATATCCCGGGCAAGCGATGGACATGTCCAATTCACTGATAAAACTTGAGAACTGAAAAATGTGAAAAATTAGATACCTCCTATAGAAGCACTACCGTCAACTTTGAGCGCAATTATTTCGATTCTTGTAAAAGATATAAAAAAATTAATCAACTGATAAAACATTGGTGATAATATGATAAGTAATTTAACAGTTGACAAAACTTTGATATCTTTCACAGGAACCGAGATAATTGAGCTCAAAGTGGACGGTTTGGGTGGGTTCTATTAGAGGAAATACGGAAAACGTACGGAAACCGGAAATCTGAAAAATTCCAAATAACTCGAATTTTCTAAAAATATCAAAAGTTTTAAAATTCCGAAAATTTGAAACAAAACCGATATTTAGAAGTTCTGACTTATGAGAATACTATATTTTTCTTGATTTTTCTGGATCAGTCTTGAAATTTGGAGTCATGGATTTCAGATTTTTCAAAATTTAGAGCCACAGTACCTGTAAATAACACAAACAATACTTGTATCCCTTCATTTTCTTCGATTGATAAAAAATCAAATAAAACCCCAAAAGATTCATTGGGATTGAAATTCCAGCAATCGTATGTAAAACTATAGCATAGTAATCGGGTACGGTAGATGGGCAGGTTGAAAAGTGGGGCATTTGAGCTGCCGTAAGACCTGTAGTACAAAGGCCAACTTTTAACTTCGATCTCAATTATCTCGATTTCTGTCAAAGATATGAAAAATTGTCAACTGATAAAATATTGCTGATATTATGATAAAAATTCCATCAGTTGACAAATGTTTGCTATCTCTAATAGGAAGCAAGGTAATCGAGTTCAACGTTGACGGTTTTGGTGGGCTGCCACAGGTTTTACGGTGGCTGTTTTGAAAAGTAAAAATGACCTGATTCTATGAACCCAAATCAGAAAAATAGGAAAGGAAATTAAAATCAAAATACGTGATTGTGTCAAATTGGATGAGGAGGTGGCAGGTGAAACATTGAGAATAGCTTCAAAAAACGTAGTTTTGCTATTAATTTTAAAAATTGTTTGCAAAAAATAAATAACTGTGATGTTATACCATGATTTTGTATTTTGTGCTTCTGAGTGTTTGAACTGGTATTTGAACATCAGAAAACCAGAAATTTGTGATTTTTTTGGTATTAGAGAAGCGGGGGAATTGCAAATATTTCGGTGGGGCGCGTTTGTCAAATGTAGGAAAGACAGAGCATTTTATGGATAAGGAGAATCAGATTTCGAGAAAAGAATAGATTTATAGAATAGCTGTACAAAAAATGTTTAAAATCCGGACAAAAATACATCATATTTTGACATTTTCAGTTCAAAATAGTGAAATTTGGAGTCCGAAAAATCGAGTCCAGAATTTTCCTATTTGTCTGAAAATCTCACAGTATTCCAAACAAAACTATAGCTTCATTTTTGTAATTCACAATTTTTTTGTGCAAATCCCGCAATAAGAGTTTAGCGGTTCTTAAGTAGGGCTTATCTTTGTGTGGGGTAAGCCGCCCGCTGCCCGCCAGAGAGCCACCAGTGCTAATAACGGCATATCTCATCAGAATGAAATTCGGCAAATGTTTTTTTTAATCACAAAAATGAAGCTCTATTTTTGTTTCGTATAGTCTGAAATTTTCAGACCAATTGAGAAATTATGGTTTAGTTTTTTTGGACTCCAAATTTCACTATTTTCCACTGAAAAAAGTCAAAATATGATATATTTTTGTTCGGGTACTGTAGTTATTCAAAATGCTGTTTTTAGACTTGAAGTAAAACTTGAAAGTTTTACTCCGAAAAAAGAATAGAAATATGAGGATACAATCAAAATTTAAAAAGTAAGAAATATTCAAGATCGAACTACTTGTTGTCTTTCTGGATCAAAGTAGTTTATACCATGAGCACTCATAACGAAGTTGGATCCTCCAATCGCCAAAATCACCGTTGTCCCGTTGTTCTTCGTCAGTCGATATCCAACTGGGAAATTTTTGTGAAGCCAACGTCTGAAAATTTTAGATTTTTTTTTCCAAGAGGTACAATTCATTTTTCGAATTTTCAGTGGAAATTGACATACTTGCGACCGGGCCTTTGCCGGGCCCTTCGCGGGCCTCGTCATAGTTTCTTTCAGAAACAATATTGTAGACCATCTAATTTGAATATGATAAAACTCTGCGAGTTCTACAAAGTGATACTATTTGGAGCACTGTATACCGTCTATCAACAAAGTTACAAGTCATGAAGTGACCGGACCTTGTCGCGCCGGCTCCTCTGTTTTTTGCCTGTTACTTTGTTCATAGACAAGACACAATTCTCCAAATAATATCATTTTGTAGCACTCGTCGAGTTCTAGCAGATCTCCCCAGCATGTCTAAAAATATTGATTGTAAAATAAACTATGGCAGATCCCGCGAAAGCCCGGCAAAGGCCCGTTCGCAAGTATGGAAACTTGTCATTTTTGAGGTCCTGAAAAAAGTGTTCCAATATTTTTCGATTTGTGTGAAAATTTCAGACTATGCTAAACAAAAATAGGGCTTCATTGACAACTTTTTCCACAAATTTCATTCTGATGATATGTATTAGCACTGGTAGCTCTCGGGCGGGCAGCGGGCGGCTCAACCCACCCAAATATAAGCCCTACTTAAGAACCGCTAAACTCGTATTGCGGGATTTGCACAAAAAAGTTGTCAATTACAAAAATGAAGCTCTAGTTTTGTTCGGTATACTCTGAAAGTTTCAGACAAATCGAAAAATTCTGAACAACTTTTTTAGGAGGTGAAACTATTTTCTGAAAAACTCACATGGGCCAAAATTCGACACGCCGAACTTCGGTATACGGTATATCTCGAAGAATGTTTTGAATAGGAAAATCGTTAAATTGACACCTGCATTCTTCGAATAGCACTGTTTCCATTCGATCACTTCTCAGGAATTTCTGAATGAATGGATACAAAGTGTAAAGAGGAATCTTGCCACACATTGTGAATATTTGTTTGCAATTGAACTTCATGAGATGATCTACAGTAACATCAGAATATTTACAGCAAGGGGCGGGACGGAATTCTATTTTGTCCAAATTCAAATTCAAATTTTTAATGGCCAAGCTAGTAGGTCTAACTCCAGATTCTTCTTTGATGGTGATACGGAAATCGAATCCCTTGAATATGATATTTGCATTTTCTAGAACTTTCCTGAGTTTCCTTGCATTGTAAGTTTTCCCTCCTTCGTTGTTTCTTTTCGGTAGAATTTTAATATCGAAGAGGTGTTTCTTCAACGTATTCTTTCGATAAAATTTGATTAGACAACGTTTTGAAAATTGCATTTCTGCAGAATACGAATGCTGTTTTGTGATGTTTCTGATAGTGGAGCCGATTCGTTTCGAGCATTGGGAGAGATTGAATCTGAAAAAGAAAATTATTAATTTATTTTTTAGATTGGAGCGCGTTTGTCCAATTTCGGAGGGAACCCAGATTTCAAAAGATAAATAAAGCTACAATACTGCAGTTCATGAACCGAAATAAATCTAATTCTGGCTTTTTTTGGTGGAAACTAGACAATTTTGAAGTCCTAAAAAATTAACTCAAAATTTTTCAATTTTTCTAAAAATTTCAGAGAATACTAAACAAAATTAGAGCTTCATTTTTATAATTAACAATTTTTTGGTACAAATCCAACAAAACGAGATAAGCGGTTCTAAATTAGGGCTTATCTTTGTGTGCGGTGAGCCGCCCGCTGCCCGCCCGAGAGTCACCAGTGCTAATAACGGCATATCTCATCAGAATGAAATTTGGCAAATGTGTTGTCAATCACAAAAATGAAGCTCTATTTTTGTTTCGTATAGTCTGAAATTTTTAGAAAAATCGACAAATATTGGAACACTTTTTCAGGAGTTCAAAAATGACCAATTTTCACTGAAAAATAAGAGGTAATATTTGGCAAATTTTTCAAGCAAATTCGAAAAAATCTGGACCACTTTTTCGGGTTTTCAAAGATCCGCCGGACCTATAATTTCATTTTTTTTATTCAAATTTTTTTCGAATTTCACTCTTCAAACGCTTCAAAATAACATGGACCCTCAAAGCGAGCAAAATGCGTTGCATTTAAGCTCATTTTGAAGCTCTAAACTCAAAACGTTTGAATAAAAAACTCACTGCTCTTCAATATTCATTTCCTTGAGTATATCATTTTGAAGGTCGGTTGGAAAACCAAGTAGAGATAATGGCATTCTGAAAAAAATAATCATTTCAGTGGAACGAAAATGTTAGAAGAAAGAAGAAAATCGATATTACATGTGTGAATAGAACAAGACAGCAAAACAAGAGAGAGTGGGGGGAAACGAGTGAATGAGAAGACGAGAGGAAAATGGGAGAAGAAGGGTGGGGACGCTAATTGGTGTGTGATCAAAAGAAGAGGAGACACATGATGTATGAGAGATGTGCCACTTAAAAATCGCTTATCTCGTTTTGTTGAATTTGTACAAAAACAGTTGTCAATTACAAAAATGAATATCTATTTTTGATTAGTATACTTTGAAATTTTCAGACCAATCGAAGAACTCTGAACTACTTTTACAGGACTTTAAAAGTGATAATTTTCCACGGAATAAGTCAGTTTGACTATTTCAGTTCAAAATAGTAAAATTTAGAGTCCAAAAAATTTATACCAGAATTTTTCGATTTGTCTGAAAATTTCAGATTATACTAAACAAAAATAGAGCTTCATTTATGCAATCGACAACTTTTTCCCCAAATTTCATACTGATGAGATAAGCACTGGTGGCTCTCGGGCGGGCAGCGGGCGGCTCATCCCATAAGCCCTACCACAGGTGATTCGCGAACAATCCGTTACGGATTCTCCGCCATTCGCGCGCGGATGAAATAGGAATCGTATACGGACCGTACGCGAATCCGTAACGGATCCGTTTCCGACTCATTCTTTGAGAACCCCCTCCGCTCCTTCTCTTAATTTTTGCTGGTTTTCATGATAGTTGTAGACTTAGTATTCGGAACTTTATTAAGAAAACATATAAGAAACAACAATCAAACGTACAACAAAGTTCGAGAAACTATGAAAATCCTTTTTTTTTTTGTAGAACGACCAGCCGGAACCAGAGCAACCTGAAAAAAAATTGGGAAATTTTCCGAAAATGCAGCATACTGTTTACCTATTAGTTATATTTTTTGTTTTCCGGGTTTTGAAAATTGTCCCATTTCCAACGTTTTGGTCGGTAGATGTTTAGTAGATGTCCATCGCTGAAAATTTAAAAAGTCACTATTTCGAAAAACTAATGTGGTTTGCACTTACCTTAAAGGGGGACTCCGACCAAAAATTTTTATTGCGTTAAAATGTGTTAAAAGTTATCTATTTTCCGAATATTATTGCGAAAAAATTCAAAAAAAAAATCCGAAATCCCCGAAAAACGCCGTTGAAAAGGAAGAAAATTCAAAAAAAGGTTCCGCCGGGGGACGAGGATTTTCAGTGAGAAACCTAGGCCACGGCAGCGGGCGCCTTTCCTACGTGGCAAATTTTCCGGAT